CCCCCCCCCTTTCGACTTTTTGTCACTTCGATGCCTGTCATTTGAAATAAAACAAATATTTGACTTATAATCCTAAATAACTAATAGGTCACAGAAGCAGTTTATAAAGCGTAACAAAGGCTCATTCATTAAGTTGGCAGTTGAAGGTCGAATTTTTAAGATGTCAAAAGTGATGTGCACTACTTAAGCAGCCTGTGGAAACTAATACGAAAATTAAGTGTGTCGGTATTTAATCTCTCGAATAGTTACTAGTCTTTACTTCTAGTAATTCAGGATGTGCAATAGACTTACCTTCACAGTACTCATCCCACCTTTTTTCCACCTTATCTACCTTCGTCTTTGATACACTCTTCTGTTCCTCCCCCCCCCCTCTCGACTTTTTTTCACTTTGATGTTGCCCCATCCCTTTGTGAAGCCTGAAGTCAACTAAAGGGCTAATGATAGCCATCGAAACGCCTGCCATTTGATATTAATATACTTCTAGTAATTCAGGCTTCAAATGGCATGTTTATGAGTGCACCAAATAAGCAAAGTTATGAATGCAAAACCTTTTGGAGGATTACAATGGTATTTCACTCATTTTCTGTACTAATACCATCATTAATACTCATGGCAGTTTTTGCAGAACAGTCTAACTTCCATATTGGCAGATTCTGTTAGTCAGGCAGGTGGACACTCAACTTGATCACTTTCAATTTGGCGAGGAGTGAAGGGATTCTTCCGTCTGGTCTAAGCTTTTGGTTCATTTTCCATTCTAATAAAGTTTAACTGAATTGACTATTTATATTTACTTTCGATATTAATTTAACCTTTCTCATTAACACCATCAGAGCTGTGTATTTACTCCAATGTGTCTCGTATACTTTTCCCGAGAGTGCAGCGTTAGGTTTTAGGAGCTTACTCTACAACTTCCAGAAGTGGATTTTGTGTTTATTATGCGCCGCGTTAATTAATCATTTGTTGCAGAGAGTTACCGTGTTGCTATGCCAACCCCTCTGTCAGGAAATGGAAGGAAACAGCAAATCATAGTACAGAGACTGCTCTGCTGAGTGAGAAATCACTTGTTAGTGAGATTAAAAGCGATGTACTTAATTCGCACACATCTACAACATAATATCAATCTCTTGAACCATATTCAACGGCAAAGTATTGTTTGCGTTACTTTAAACTAAATACGCTTTTATTAATTTCTAAATAGGGCATTCTACTTGCAATTAATATGGGATAAAATAAGCTCGATATTCAATAAACTAACTTCTTAACACATATCTTCTTGCTCACTAACTGGCTTCGTACTCATGTATACGCAGCTTTTGAAACTGAGTTGTAGGATTTACAGACAATTTAGTAAACAGACGAAGAAAATTCTGATAAGCTAATTTCAGAAGTTCGAAGTTATCCCCAACGCAAGGGAGAAAAATAAAAGTATTGTCCGGAAACGCTAAATGTAGTTGAGCACATTATCAGTCAATTGAAAGCTAAAACTTAATCTATAAAACTCTTGAGTCACCTTATTTGGTACTTTTTCTATTTACAAAGTGAATTGAAATCCTGTTAATCATAGTTATTACCTAATGGTTACACTGTGGTACTCACAATAGCCAGATTTGAAAAATAATTGACCTTTTTAATTCAATCTATTCTTAACAAGACTATATTTGCCGTTACTTTGTTTATGAAGCTGAAGTAATCAGTCGTTTCTGCTAAAATAGGCCTTCGGCAACCAGTAAAATGTGTAAAATTACTAATTCCTTTTTACCAATCAATAAATTCAAATATATAAGTGGAGTATCGTAGAAAAATAGATTTAAAAGCGCTCAGCTGTTAATCGATCAACTATCGATTACTAGCAATAAGATTGATTCTACTCTCGGCTCAAATCTTATGAATTTCTAAGCGTTAAATTAATTTATTTTTGATCCGAATATATTGAATTAAACTCACCCAAGAGCTATTTAGATAGAGAAACCCGAAAGGTCCCAGACGATAATTCAATGTGACTACGATGACATTTTGACGCGATGACAAAAATCTACCATCGTAGATCTGTAGAACTGATGATCCGGTTATAAATGATCCACCAAATATCCAAACCTATTAAAACAGTCAGTCACCCTCAATAATTTCAAATGCCTATTACCATGACAGGGAATTTTTTGTTCTTTTCACATCGTAGCTCTGAAGGTATGTCTGGAACAAAAATGTTCAGGAAGAGACAGTCTTCTGACAATGGTGTATTGGGTTGCCATATCCTAGCTCCCGCAGAATTCTACAAGAAAAACCAAACTTTGAGCTATCGAATTCTTTTCAACTCAGGCTTAAATTTGACTGAACTCACTTGAAACATGGTATCAATATACTGATAGCAGGCATCTGGGCGGATTCTTGCATCGAAAACACGATCGGGTTCAGCAATTGGGGGCACAGGCTTTTTAAATCTCAAAGAACCCGTTGGCGGTTTGGCATATCTTATTCCTAAACAAAACACAAGAAACAATTCTACTTCTTAATCAAAAAGGGGTGAAATAGACTAGCGAATATTCAAATCGTAAAATGAAGCCACCTGTGAAAAATCGATAGGACATAAAGTTTTAACTTACCAAAGTATACGTCTACGTGAGTATTCGTACCCGGATGCCAAATGACCGATTCACGGGTTCCACAATAAGTACCAACAGATGTTCTCGTTTTTGGATGGTTATGAGGACAAATCAAAGGAGTTGATGGGGGAGTTTGCAATAAGGTCTCCGCAAGACCAAGCCAAATAATTCCGTAAATAGTTATTAAAATAATTAATTTTTTGCCCTCCATATTACTACAAACTCTTTTGTACAAAGCGATGCTAGTTAATGCACCAACGCGAGGGCCAAGGCCTGAAAAATGAACGCAATAATGGGAAGCGCTATCTTGTCACTAGGCGACCAATGGCGTTTGAGGTATAGCACACGCCTGACTATATTGGACGGGTGGGGTGTACGATAGACTTACCTCCACGTGGTGCACCATGGGCAACGTATACTCATACGGCAAAAAAGTATATAAACCTGCAATTGACTTCTGATTTTAAACTACCATCACCTCACTGTATGTCATATTCGACTACTTCATAGTACTCACCTTACTGTATGTCATATTCGACTACTTCCACAGTACTCACCTCATTGTATGTCATATTCGACTACTTTCACAGTACTCACCTCAACCGTATGTCATATTCGACCCCTTCCACAGTACTCATCTTACCTCGACTATTTGTCATATTTGACCCCTTTCACAGTACTCATCTTACCTTGTCATATTCGACTACTTTCACAGTACTCACCTCACCTTCTATTGTACCTTTGTGTCTGTCTCTTTTATATCTTTGAAACACCCTTCTATCCCCCCCCCCATCTCGATTTTTTCACTTTGATGTTCCTTCCCCCCTGTGAAGCCTGAGGTAAACTAAAGGGCTAAAGATAACTATCCAAAGGCCTGCCATTTGATATAAATAAATATATTGGTCAAAAATTATTCATATGTATATGTTTGTGAGATCGAATAATGTTGTTTCAAATAGGCACCTACACAATAGGAAATGTCCTGGCGCTGAGAAATTTTTGGTAGCAGCGTGAAACTCAAGTTTTATAAAAGATTGAATAAAATTTATTTATTTCAAATGGCAGGCGTTTTGAAAGTTATCATTAGCCCTTTAGCTGACTTCGGGGCTTCACAGAGGGGGAGGAACATCAAAGTGAAGGCAAATCGAGAGGGGGATAGAATAATGAATGACAGATGTAAAAGAGACAAACAGACAGAAAGGC